AATAGGGTTCAAGTTCATGGTTGCATACTTGCTGGAACCTGTTCCTGGCATGCACCCGCGGGTGTGGTGAAGCCCAAACCATCAAACGCATCACTGACGAGCGCGCCATCAGCGCGCACACCCTGGCGGTATCGCTGCGATCCGTACGGTGTCTAGTCCCACCTTGGATTGGTTGAAGGACCTGAACGTTCAACGATGACATCATCGATACAAACTGTTGCTTTCCCCCCACCCCCACCATGCCATACAAAAGAAGAAGACTGCCCTGGCCTAACCAAATAGCTATTTGGTACCGGGACAGTTTTTATTTAACCACATCAAATATAGGGATCTCCGTTACCTCAGCTACACGTGATCGGTAGTGCAGTGATTAGCGCGCTGCGCTACGAACCCAACGGCCCGAGTTCGATTCCCTGGCGTGGCTAACGTCAGTGGCGTATATCTGAACCGGTCCTGAGCCTCAACCAGGTCAACACTGCCTGGTGCCATGTGTAAACATCGGCCCCCGGGGAGACAAAGGCCGCCGGGCATGGTGCTGGCCACCAACCCCCTTGTGTGCTGTGCGGGCCTAAATAGGTGCTCGCTAATAGCACTTGCCCCAGCAGTCTGTTCGAGGCTACACAAGGGGGAATCTTCATCTTTGTGTGCCACTGGAGCTTTATTTATTTAATCAAGTCAAACATCGTCGGGTTATTCCAACAGGGGATTAACAGAATGCTTGTAATTAAGACAATTAGGCTGAAGTGTCGGGGATGTGCAGTGGGGAGCAATGACCCAGCGGCTCATCCTCCAAGCCAATCCTTAAGAGTGGTTGAATTGAAAGAGATTATTTATAGCTGGGAGAGGGGGACATCTCTTTAACAAAGGGAGATCTGGATGATCCACGGGGGGGTGGGCATGATGCACTGTGACAAGGACATGAGAGGAGAAGAGAGAGGGGCTGAACAATGGCTGCAATGATACACTGGAAATAAGCAGGCCCCAAAAATTGATGTGCTCCACAATAAACCCACAAAATACACGGCTTAATTACAAAAGATGTAAAAATCAGTGGGATAGGTCTGAAACGCAGAACCCTAGTACACAAAAGATACAGGTATTATTTTATGAATACTTTCGTTGATACATTACAGGTAATGGTATTTGCAACGTGCCCATATAAGGCAGTTTATTCACTTCTGCCAAGAATCCACCACATTGTCATTATCTTTCAAAGAATATACACATTTAAAATTGTAGAAATTTTATGTATCCATAATATAGGTTATTTGGGTGGGATCGCGTAAATATAAATGTGTCGTTAAACCCGCCACCACCAATTAGTAAGGTTTGTCATGTAAACTGAACATGCCAATTCGTTACTAGTACAGCACACCGGTTTGTTGGAGAGCAAATCCACAACGACACGTATATATTTATGCGATCTAGCCCCAAAAAATTATATTATAGATGATATTGGTCGCGAAAACATACGTGTTAAATCAATTTTATCTATTTTGTGATATACTTTTATAGATTTAAAAAAATTGTAATTACATGAATAACTGACGTCCGTGTCAGATAAAAATACTCCCTGATTAAAAACTGTACATGGCTTCCAGTGTAAGTGCTTAAATATTTCTTTTTTGTGTTCCAGATTAAGATTAAAAAATTTTTTTGTCAAACAACACAGGAACTGTGCACGGAGTGCGTGCCTGTGGGGCGAAGATAGCATTAGACGGGCCATGTTTATTAATTCATTTGCTTCCTCGTAAATCTCCAAAAGTCGGTATTGTCAGGATAAATATTTGAACCGGGACAACTCCTTTCAAATGAAATTCACATGTTTCCTAACATTCTGTCTGAGATCGTCAAAGAACATATCATCATCACCAACACCACCACCACCGAGATCATCAGCACCGTCAATTGCAGTGTTCACACATTGGCATTTTATTAGGTCACGTGTGTTGGGGTAAAGAGTGGGTACTCTCTTCCGACATGTCAGCATGGAAGAGTAGGCCAAATACCCTCGAGAGCTCCCTCTAATGGGGAGGCCCTTCCGCCAACAGCGGTGTGAGCAAGCAATTGCAGGGTTGCACCTTTACCTTTCTACCTTTACCCTGCGTGGCAGCAAACGTCGATTTTCCCACGATACATTAACCCAGAGCTTCGTCATCGTGTCCGCATTAAAGACCCGGGTCTTACTCCTTTAAAATAAGCAGAGGCAGCATTAACCCCAGGGTCCTGGCTGAAGTCCCACTACAGATCAATGACATATCGCTGCCCTTGCCAAAGGCCCCCCCAACCCCTGACTCGGCCCCACCCCCCATCCAACCCCGCGTGATTAATTAGGAGACAAAAAAATAAATCCTTTGTTGCTCAGCCTATTTTGTACCTTGCCACCTCGGGCTGCTCACCAATCATTAATCAGCCGCTGAGCACGGGTAACGCTGCGCGCGTTTGAAAGGTGCGATAGAAATGTGTGACACGGTGATGATGTTGGCGATGATGATGGTGGCGGCGGTGATGGTGGAGATTTGCCAGAGACGGTGAGTCATTGCGAGAGCTCACATCGGTGCGCCGCCGGTGTATCCCAGCACATGAACGTCATCCAAATGCTAAAATTGTGAAAAAATCGGCGATTTAATAAAAAAAATCGCCAGACCGCACTTACTCGGGTAGAGTGAACAGGGCGTTCCTTATCCTCGGGAGGGACTGAGCCACTGGGCGAGTCATCTGATTGGGACAAAAAAAATACCGCACGGCTTGAGCGTTAACGAACTTTCCGTAAAAAGAAAAAAATCGCCTGAAATATCGGAATATTTTCTACCGAAAAAAATATTCTTTACTTTTAAAAAAACCGTGCCTTTTTCCCCCCATTCGACCTGTCCCACCGGCACTACTGAGTGAAGTTCTTATTGCGTTAATAGAATAATGTAAGCTACCACGGTGCACCGTGAATGCTCTAGTCTGGCAGGAAACAGCCCTGGAATGATACAACTGTGGGGATTCTCGCAGAGTTTGGTTCTACGAGACTGCCCCACGCTCCTTAATTGTTACGTAAAAAAAGGATACGTGTTTTTGTCTAAGCCTGATAAGGGCTCAAGCACGTCACTCGTGTACCGTGAATGAAATGAAAACACCGCCATTGGAAACTGTGAGTTCCTCTCCTCCAGTTCGCACGGTTGGTTACGTGCGGTGTGAAATAGGTTCAATATTCATACATACACAAGCCAATCTAGATAAATCCAGGATAAAAAGGTAGGCAGAGCAGACTGTGTGTTTCAAGCCAGCGTAGGTGTTCCTGCAAAGCGGTTCACGCTTTGCAAGAGTAGAGAGGCAAAGGCAGCTTCCACACGGCGTTACGCAGTTGATGAAAAGATAATGCCACACGACTGATTCAGTGAGACCTCCACTACCACACAGGAGCTGATCATCAGCACGCTACCCAGGTACGAGAGATCCTCAAACCTTTGCACAAGCACGGCATTACACTCATGGAGAGCCGAGGGAGTGGTGCGTTCGATGAAACAGTACCCAGGCAGGTGTTTGTTTCGCTAGGACTGATAAGGGGAGGGGACCATCAGGGCATCCTTCCATTCTCTGTGGGACCCATTCTTTGGACAGTTGCAACAATGTCCTGCAAACAGTCTGCAGTCTGCCACCCTCCCCTCCTGTTGAAATCCCCTACGCGTGTGTGCAGGACTGCTGACGCGAACCCGACTTGAAAGCATATTGGGGCTCCCCTCAACGCTTCTTTCTGGTCGATAATCCTTTCCAGGACTTTTCCCGGCACACGGAGGAAGATAATGCTCCGGTAGTTGTGTAGTGGTGATTGTTGCATCACCACTGTGTACACACGCACACGTGTGACGTCACTATGCGGGGGAGCGTCACTACCACGCGGGCCTACACACACACATGACGTCATCCCGGCTGGAGGCGGGAATTACGTCAGGGCCGGTTCTGGACTCGGGAGGCCACGAGGGTGGTGTGAGGTCGTGGCACTCTGTGTGACCCCGGCTGGACACGTGACTGGACCCCAGTGGGGGCCGGGGGCCTAGGGGGCACCTCGGGGGGCACGTGGACAGCAGGGGGGGGGGGGGCTTCGAGAGGGTTCTCGAAGGGAGGCGTGGCTGGGGCGGGGTCCGGGCACGCCGAGGCCCATATAAGCAGCCTCCTCACGGGGTTAGAGGCTGCCCGTATCAAGAATGAAGATGCATCGTCAAGACGCCAAGAAGAGTAAAGCCTCCAGTCAGCGGACCTGCTGGTAGCCCACCTGGCTGGGTCACGCTAGAGTATCTGAGAGTGGAGAAGTGTGTGTTAGCTCGAATAGGTCGGTGGTCACCACCCTATGCATAATGTAAGAGTTAACTGTTGTGTTCATTAATAAATAAGTGTTGCCTCCCAAGAAGTTGTGTGTGCACCTAATTCGAATCCACTACAGTTGTATAAATCAGTGTGGTCACACACATGCACACAAAGACAAAGAGCCCCCATATAGCCTGAACAGACTGTTGGGGCAAGTCCTGTTAGCGATCAGCTATGAAGGACGGCACAGTACACGAGGAGTTGGGTGGCCAACACCACGCCCAGCCGCCTTTGTCTCCCCAATGGTGATGTTTACACACCACTCATTGGAGGATGAGTCGACCTAGGGGAGGCCCAGGATCGGTTAAGAAAATCATAACTGGTGTTGGCCGTGAGCGGGAATCGAACTCGGGTCGTCGGGTTCGAAGCGCAGCACGCTAACCGCACATGCACACACACAACGACAACAACAACAACCAATCGCCACTAAGTGGAGGTGATTTCACCACGGCACTTGTGCCAGGCTATGTGCACTTTAAGGCCACAAAGTGTTGAACGCCCGCTGGTAGATCACCGGACAGACCCAGGTGCCATAGGTTCACTGACAGATGACCAGCTGATGCACCACCTGTGGCCCCTACCGTGCACACACATGCACACGCGCGGATTGAAATTGAACACCGTGGCGTGCAGTGCGAGTTCCCTACCAGGATCTTGTTCTCGTCCTCGTCCTTGTAGTAGCACAGCTGCTCCCCGCGCAGCACGAACCAGCGCGCGTGCCACGAGCGCACGAAGCCGCCCTGCTTCTTGAGCCAGCCACTCTTGAGGACCCCGCGGCGCGACGACCCGGACGCCGACCCCGGATGCCCGCCGGCCTCTCCCCTGCGACCGCCGGTCTGGGCATGCGACGTGGCCGCGGCCGAAAGAGCGGCGCCCACCCCGGCGGCGTCGGCGAAGCCCGGCAGGGAGGCGGCGGCGGCCGACGCGGCTCGAGATGCCATGGCCTGGCCCGAAGCGCCACGGCTCGCCAGGGCAGCGCCGTCTGCCATCACTAGACTGAAGGAACGGCCTGGGGTTGGTGGCGTGGGTGGGCGCGGGAGAGTGACAGGACGGAGGAGAGATCACCCGGCAAGATGAGCAGGAGGCAGAGGTGATTGGCGCAGGCTCTGCCGAGCGAAAAGAACAATCATTCAACGGCAGCTGATTTCAGAGTCCGTTTTGCGAAACTCCTGAGGTCGCTCCACAGCTTCCTATGGGGAAAAAGTGGAACATTTTCAGAACCAGGCCACTGGCACAAGGCCCACACTCAACAGTACGCCACACAGCACATGTGAGTACAAAGTAATAAAAGGCGGTAAAAGTGCAGCCCTACAATGGCTTGCTCGCGCCACCGCTGGCAGAAGGGGCTTCCACTTGAGGGAGCTCTAGAGAGCCCCTCTGGAGGGCATTTGACTCTTCCACGCTGGCCAGTCGTCTTGGCAGAGGTGGGATTACCCAGCCTTTACCTCACTGCGCGCGATCTGCCAACTGACGTAGCTGTGGTGCACCCATTCATTTTGCTGCTGAGTGGTGGAGAGAGAAGGTGAGGATTTAGAGAGCTCGCACTGTCACTTCAACTGATGTGCCAGGAGGTCGAATGGAACAGGCGACCTCTGCATTGCAAGTCCGGAGTGCCGACCGTTACACCGCCGTGGCAACTCCAGGAGGATCAGTGGCGAAATTCAGTCAGGGGGCTGTCCGGGTTGGCGACCCAGAAAATATTTGTGCTCCCTGAACACCACATCAGGATACCTCTCGCTATGGCTGTGGCTATACATACCAGCGACCAGGGAATTATTACGTGAGAATTGAAGCCCTGGGGAGGAAATAAACAGACAAGGCGGTGATGTGAGCATCCCGATAGGTTTCAACAGAATGCCATTAATCATCCAGATTGTCCAACATATATATGAATTTATAATGATTCACACTCCTCTGTCAGTCCATCGGTGGATGAAGGACTCTGCATTCCGTCTAAGTCATTGGGTGTTTCTGTTTGATCGTATTTTGCCGTGCTGGTAACTGTGGTCAGTTCTATATCCGCCCACGGCTAACATCAGTGGCGAGTGACATACCTCAGCAGATTGTCACCCCCCTTTTTTGTAACCCCCGGATTTAAACCAGCGTGGTGAAGTAAAATAAGAGACCTCATGACCGACACGGCACGGGGAGAGGGCCTTCGTCCAGCAGTGCAATGATAATGGGATGAAATGTACGATTGAATATTTACCAAAAACAAATAAATAACAGGTCGTAAAGTATATGCCATTTGCCCTGCATACGTTGCACATATGTACGGTGATTGTAAAGTCATGCCGAAAGCAAAATTACTCAAAGTGTTGCTTTAAAGGTAATTTGTGAAAAGTATCAGTTAACCAAACATTTAGTTTAAAAATAGACCACATGGTGCCCCAGCTGCCGAGCATGAGTCACAACCTGTTTTGTAAGTCACAGACGTCATTACTGTACTTTTATTAAATGGAATGACGTTTGGAACTTTGGTAATATTTACACATGTGCCCTGGGCATTTGTGAACCCTTAAAGCGCCTCCTCGTCGTAAGGTAGGGGTGAGAATGCGCCATGTACAGTGGGTAGGGATGAGAATGCGCCATGTCCTGTGGGTAGGGATGAGAATGCGCCATGTCCTGTGGGTAGGGGTGAGAATGCGCCATGTCCTGTGGGTAGAGATGAGTAAAGCGCAATGTTCTGTGGGAAGGGATGAGAATGCGCCATGTCCAGTGGGTTCCAACTTGGCCACGTCCCAGCTTGACAGGTCTTTACCACCACGTGCCTGTCTGGGGATTTGATAATTTCTCTCAATCGCTGAATTGTGATTGGATGTTGAATTGTTGCACTTCGTGGGTTGCAATCGAATGCAAAAATTTGATTTTTGTTTTATAACATTGTAACAAGCGATTTGTTGTACCCGTGGCCAAACCACGTGAATGAAACTGAGAGTGAAGGATAGAAAGAATAGGGGGGAAACAAGATGAAAAAGGAACGGAAACTCGAGCAATGAGGAAGAGGCTACGGATAGGGCCTCGACACATCGGCACGGAGGAGCGGCGGCTCTTTTCGCAGGGGGCGACGGGGAGGGCTCAGCGACCCGGGGTGGCTGCACAGAAGGCAAGTGATTCACGGGTGGCTTTAACTCATTTAGATATTGAGATATATCGATACGAGTGTGTGGGGGGGGGGGGGGATTTAGAGTCGGGGTGGCCACACAGTCGTCACGTTTATTTACGGAAGGCTTTAACTGATTTCGAAATCGAGATGGTAGCACCGTTAGTGGCTGCACGGTTTACATTAACTCATTACATACAACACATACAAATCGGAAAACGTCGCATTCTTACACGTGCGTAACTCGATGTGTGTATTTTGAGCTTAAGAATATATTTATCAACACAATGCTGAATATATATTTGGTCCTTAAGGTCTCCATGGTCTGGCTTTTCCCATCTGCCAATAAGGGTGAGTGGTGGTGCAATGGTCACGCGCATTGCATTATGATTCGAGCCACTGGCGTTTTTTGGCGAGTAATATCTGAACCTGCCCTACAGGGTGCAGGATAGGTGTTGGCACCAACTTGCACGGACCGGCGTGGTGAAGTATGGTCAACAACACCCGTTACCAACATGGCACGGGCACACCTTCGTCCGCCAGTCAATTGGAAAAGGGCCGTAAATAATATAGCGACCTTAAAAATAGACCGGTAATCTATTAATAATGTGAGCAAAGAAAAAGCCATGCACACCAAGTTTGGTAAACAACACTGAAACAATTTTGCTGGAGGAGGCACACAAACTAGAACACGGAACAACGATTGAAGGTGGATGGCATTCAAAATGATTCAAGAGCAGAACGAGATCGAGGATGGAGCGCCTTTTGAAAACCTCCGAGTCGATCATGAAGCGCAGCGGGCCCTCGTGCCTGCAGAGGAGCGGATTCACGTGAGCAGCCACGACGTCGTTTAGAGAAACGCATCGCGTCGACAACGACGCTGGGACAAGGGATGGAAGTGAGCAAGGCCGAGAGCACGTGCTTGAAATTTAACCGACTCTGCTACCGCCTGACGCAATTATCTGCTTCGAACCACCTCGGTGTAAAATTGTAGTTGTCGCTCTCACGTCAATATTAGCCACACGGAGAAGAAGAAGAAGAAGACAGAACCACGACGTCTGGCGAAGAAAACAAAACAGAGACGTCATCTTAACGGCGTTAGTAGAGTAGGTCTGAGCAGGACAACATCTGTATTTATACTGGAGGAATCCGATGAGCTATTAAGCTCTTTCTCACATCGCTTACATGGGATGATGGCCATTGGTTGAGGCTGGTGATGGAATGGTAGATAATTGCTCCTGAGAGAATGATCATCGTGGACATGGAGCAATGAGATCACTTCCTGTGCAGGAGTGAGATGAACTGTGGGGGAATGGCATGGAGCAGAATTCATCAAGCGGTAGATAGATCATTGCCGATTAAATGTTTCAATACAACTTTTTTGTGTGACGATACATTAATTGTACTTGAATGCTTTATAAATGTACTCGCAACCACGTTATTATTAAGAAACAATTAAAAGCATTTATTTAATGTACGTACACGCCAGACACAACGTTGTGTCTGGGATCACCAACTCCCAATGTCTACTGCCCTTGTATTCAAATTGAGCAGATCTGGTATCAGCATAGCCAGGCCTTCATCCAGCAGTGGATAGAGATTGAACACTGTAATTGACGGTGCTGATGATCAAGCGATATTTTTTTTACTTTCTCAGACAGAGCGTGAGGAAATATATATAACTTTAATTTTAAAGGAGTTGTCCCAGATCAAATATTCATTCTGACGATGCGAACTTTAAAAGACTTTACAAGGAAGCAGATGAAGAATGAATAAACACGGCCCGTCTAATGCCATCTTCGCTCCACAGTAATGCACCCTGTACACAGTTCCTATGTTGTTTTAAAAGCAACCTTCAGCTGAAGCTGGCATATAAAATATATAATTGTTACCGCTTACAGTGACTGGAAGCCATGTCTAGTTTTTTTTTATCAGAGTGTATTTGTGTCTGACATTGACGTCAGCGAATGGTTAAATTACCAACGTTTTATTTTGTTATCTTAAAAAAAGTATATCGCAAACTACATGAAATTACATTTTATACTGTGAAAGAAAATAAAATGTCAACTTGTGGCTTACACGGTGAATGGTACATGTGTATATTGTACTGCCCGTCTGTCAATACAATGCTACGTTAGGGCCTCCCCACACAATACGGGTCACGAGGAGTTAATCAACTAAACTACAATATTATTTTTTACCAGGTAAGGCTCACTAAGCTATATCGCTCTCTATCAGAAGCGACCTGACCACAAATGATAGCTCAACGAAGTGGTTTATCATCGTGAAAATATATAGCAGCCCAATGCTCAAAACGCGTGATGTTGATTCCAAATGTGGAGGGAAAAACCGGAGAAAAAGTCCACGCGACCAAGGGGAGAGAGACGCGCAACCTCTAAATATACAGCAGCAGGCGTCAGGGTCTGCATCGAACCCACGAACTCCCGCATACTCAGCGAGGTAGTTAACATCTCGCCCATACTTCACCACGCTGGTCAGTGTGGGCTGATAAACACGAGTAGTACAGCATAGAAGTACGGTATAACAATGAATGTTGCTGCATCGCCCCTCTGCTGTCTACAGGATCAACCAGGCAATATCCAGGCTCAAATTCCTGCAAAACTTCCGTCACCTGGTGTGAACGAGCGCATCCCGGGTGACTTGGTCAATTATTTACTGACCGTAAATGTATGTATAATTCGCAAGCTTGATGATTAAGGCTCGTGACTCCATTCCAGTGGATGACGGAACTCCGTGCCATTCTTTGTGGTGCACTGCCACTAAATTGGAGACGGGGCGCAGCTGCAGGTGTAATTATCGTCACTTCTCACCCCGGGGGGTGTGGGGTGGGGTGGAGATTGATAATCGTGAGGCGGTCGACAGCACCAGAAACGAAATCTCCAGCC